CAATTAATAATTCTTACAGGAAATATGGGATTGTTTAGTTGCTGGTAAGCAACAATTTCAATGGCTGAGAAAATTTATCTTACTGAATGCATTGGGTGACTGCTGGACACCTTTTCAATGAATAATGGGAACATTTCATATAAAGCATATTGTTTAGAACTTGATATTGTTCATAATCTTCTTTTTCCATTAGCTTAATTGTTATGTTTTATATATCTACATCAGTATTTAAATAGTTAATAGTTTAAATAGTTACATGTAGTGAAAACCCCAGCAGGTTTTATTTCTGAAATCGATATTCTCCGTTTATAGCACAGCATTTCCAATTACACATGATGAATAAATGTTCGCATGACGTTGAATGAAAGCAAATTCATGAAATATTTCCATTAGATAATGCTTTAAGACCTATTGTCTGGTGTCTTCCTAAGAAATCTGGCCCTGGGATATGTGTGGATGCTTGGGTGACTGTAGAAGGAGATAACCAACTTTGAAAGGGAATATATAATAATTTGCATACATTTTCTTTGTATGTTTATAACAAAGTACTTTGTAAAAGTATTTATTTTCTTTCAACCTGATAAACATGAAATATTGCATATATTATAGATAACAGTATAAATAATAGAAACTTTTTAAATTTGTGTATACAATGATTTAAGTAATAAATACGATATTCAACCAGCAGGTCAGGAACTCGAGGCTACTACTACTACAGGATTTCATTAGCCTGTTTTGCTACTATGCTGTGAATACCCTGAAAAAGACTCTGATGTGAACAGACCTGAGCAGAAGGGTGCCACACTATATAAAGCAGCAGAGTAACTCAATGGAGAGTCACCCTCCCCGCCAATTGCTAGAAGACAAATTAATCTTGACTTTCCATGTCTCAAAAGCATTTTCATATATGGATTTGATGTCTGCAGATGAAAAAAACGCAGTACTTTGCTTTATTATTAAACCCCATCTATGCTCTGCTTTGAAAGCTAAGTGTCCTGGACTAAGTGTCCTGGATATATTCTTATTGAAAACCGAAAATTGAAAAATAGGTTTTTAAACTTGTATACGCTTGTACTTAAAAGAAAAATAAATTGCAGCTGTAAATGATAAAATGTACTCTATAATGTTTTGCATAACATGTTAAAACTATATAAACCTGTACCAATGATACATTCTGAACCCATTTAATGACCAGACCCAGGTTTTTGAGCAGACAATGCAGACTGATACCATATTGTACTTATTTTTTCCATTTCTTAATTTCCCTTCATCTACATCACTCTTTCTACTCTCTCATTCCTCTAGTGTTTTCTTTCATTTTAAATTAACCATTTTGCTTCCAGTGTTTAGTTTTTTCCCCACACTTTAACATTTTTATTTTAGGCACTTAAAACCTCCCAAAATTAGTTATATTCTAAAATCAGAGACTCTGGAGAATAAAATAGTGGTAGTTATATTTTTTAAATTAACATCATGTCACAAAATATTAGTGCAATGGTTTATTGAACCCACATTTTCAGTAACAATATGCTAAAGTTAATTTTAGTGGAAAAAACTACAATATATTACTAACTTTTTTTAAACAAAATATAAAAGATAATGTAGTGTCCTCTACATAGATACCAAACATATTAATCATTACAATTGCACTTGTGAAACAGCGGCAAACTATGGTACACAGAATGGTCCATAAGCGACGGGACCCTTTACAGCTCATCAGTTTAATGTTAAGAATGAATGGTACCCCATTCCAGGGCTGGAGGAATAGTCAGCAGGAGCCTGGGAATTGCACCGGAGATACACTGATCACAGCTGCAATACTTTGCAGGCTCCAATTAAATTTTTTTTTTTGCTCTGCCGTCACATTACCTCGCAGCCAGGTAACGTTATGAGCTCTCAGCCCTGTCGCTGTCAAACTGAGACTCAGTTTGACAGCGACAGGGCTGAGAGCTCATCCGTTTCCTCGGTCCGTCCATTTGGCCGGTGGTCTTCTGGAGCTCCGCCCACCAGCCAATTGGAAGAGACCTCACCCCTCCCATCCACCGCGCGAGGATCCCAATCTGGCTAGGAGGGCGGATCGTCAGGGGCAGATGGACGGAAACGCAGTCAGCAACGGCTGTTCCTGCATGCTCCCGCCAGCGAGATGCTCCCTGTACAGTCCTGGTGAGAGGCAGCCTTCACAGGCTACAGCAATGGTGAGAACCCTGTGGAGACTCTAGAGAGCCCTGTGGAGACCCTAGAGAGCCCTGGTTTAACCAGGGCTCTGTGGGGTCTAACAAGGCTGGTTAGACCCCCACAGAGCCCTGGTCTCACCAGGGCGCTGTGGGGTCTCACCAGCTGTCTGTGGGGTCTAACAAGGCTGGTTAGACCCCCACAGAGCCCTGGTCTCACCAGGGCGCTGTGGGGTCTCACCAGCTGTCTGTGGGGTCTAACAAGGCTGGTTAGACCCCCACAGAGCCCTGGTCTCACCAGGGCGCTGTGGGGTCTCACCAGCTGTCTGTGGGGTCTAACAAGGCTGGTTAGACCCCCACAGAGCCCTGCTACCCTGGTGAGACCCCCTCAGAGCCCTGGCGAGTCCCCAGAGAGCCTTGGTGAGTCCCCACAAAGCCATGGTGAGACCCCACATCGCCCTAGTTAGACCCCACAGAGCCCTGATACCCTGGTGAGACCCCCTCAGAGCCCTGGCGAGTCCCCAGAGAGCCTTGGTGAGTCCCCACAAAGCCATGGTGAGACCCCACAGCGCCCTGGTGAGACCAGGGCTCTGTGGGGTCTCACCAGGGCTCTGTGGGTCTAACAAGGCTGGTTAGACCCCACAGCGCCCTGTTGAGACCACACAGAGCCCTGCTACCCTGGTAAGGGGTCTAACCAGGCTGGTGAGACCCCCACATAGCCCTGGTGAGACCCTACAGAGCCCTGGTTTAACCAGGGCCCTGTGGGGTCCCACCACTGCTCTTTGGGGTCTCACCAGGGGTCTAACCAGGCTGGTGAGACCCCACAGAGCCCTAGTCTCACCAGGGCTCTGAGGGGTCTCACAAGGCTGGCGAGACCGTACGAAGCCCTGGTTTAACCAGGCCTCTATGGGGTCTCAACAGGGCACTTTAGGGTCTCGCCAGCCCTGGCTAAACCCCACAGAGCCCTGGTGAGACCCTACAAAGCCCAGGTGAGACCATATAGAGCCCTGGGGTATCTCACCAGGGCTCTTTGGGATCTCACCAGGGCTCTGTGGGGTTTAACCAAGCTGGTTAGATCCCACATAGCCCTGGTGAGACCCTACAGAGCCCTAGTTAAAACATGGCTTTGTAGGGTCTCACCAGGGCTCTGTGGGGTTTAACCAGGACTAGTGAGACCTCACAGAGCCCTGGTGAGACCCCTCAGAGCCCTGGTTTAACCAAGGATCTGTGGGGTCTCACTAGTCCTGGTTAGACCCCACAAGGCCCTGGTGAGACCCTACAGAGCTCTGGTGTTGGTGAGACCCTACAGAGCCCTGTCCCTTTTTTAGTTTTAAACAAAAGTGAAGTTACACTTTAAGATAATGGTCAACTTAAAGAACAACTCCGTGCAAAACTTTTATCAACCCTTGCAGTGGGGCTATCCCAGCACTACAAGAGTTAAGTGGTCATTTTGTATTGGTGCCAGAATAAAAGAGGTATACTCACCTGATACTTGGAGTCAGCTTTCTCTTAGACCGGTCCTACCAGCCTCGCTCCCCCTCCACTGCAGCGGTCCAAGGATCCAATGCACTCTATATTGAATGTGAGGATGCCAGGAGACTGGAGGGACCAGTCTAAGAGCCAGAGTTCTTCTTTAAGGACAATTGTCTAAAAATATAAAGAGTCAACTCACTGCCGTGTCATCTAAGTATATGAAATCTGTGTTCACATTTTAGACAGCATCAAAACTATTTTAGTGTGCAGGCTATTGTGAACGTATCCCTAAAGGGTCAAACTATTTATTGTATATAGATGTGTTCTTTGATTTTGAGGACTATATACAATAACAAAAAGTTTAAACTAACAGAGGTTTAGTATGACATTGTTTATGCTTTGCTGCACTATTTGATGTTCAAGGAGTTAAACTCTACGCCAAAGCTCTTCATCCAATCTCTGACGTGTTACTATAGTTACCTGTGCAATGACTGCAGTATAACTGGCTCGGATCTATTTATAGCTCTCTATCAATATCAATGTTTGCAGCCAGAAAAGCAACTTCATAGCTTGATTTTAGCACTCTAGATTCTAGACAGAAGACCTTGTCTGTGCTATACCTGTTAGAGTCTGGCAACATTTTATGATGACATTTAGCAGAAAGTTAGCTATTTTAAAGAGGAAGGATGTCCAGTGTCTACTATAAAAAAAAAAAAAAGGTCTCTTAATTTAGTGTATACGTGTGAGATGAGGTGTTCATAAAACGTGTCAGAGAGCACATTAACATCCTGCAGGTTGGTACACAGTGGCTCAGGCAAGACAGGAAAACTGCAAAGCAAAATATACTCTACAG